TGGCGCGTAGAGGCCGCATAAGGGGGGGGTGGGGGCGATTTTTGGAGCCCACATTTGCTAATATATGAGACCGTTCAGTATCCTTCAATCTCAATGTCTAGAGTTTATTGATATATGCCACATTGCATTGTTTCCAAGCTTGAAGGTGCATTGAGTTTGAAAAGGATATGAAAATTATTTCTTAACTTATATAAGCTCTTCATTTTTATAATGTTTCTGATGTAACTTGTTTGTATTTTTATTGTAATGGCAAATTATGGCAACAAACAGCTTGGGGAATAGCCCCTCAACACCTTTAAATGTATATATTTCACAATAACAGTGGTGAGCCATATGGGATTCTCACAAGAGGTGATGATGTGAAGTTTTTTTTTTTTCTCAAATAGAATATTGTCTGTTAAAGATCAATAGTAAGAGATGAGCTACATAAACTCAATGGTGTGGAAGTCATGTCGCAAAACATAATTTTTTTCAAATGAGCAGAGAAATTGATAATATTGATCTTAAATATCAATGAGGAAATGCATATGTTAAAATCTAAATATCTTCTTCTTTTGATATCTGCAGAGATTTGATTGATGCATTAATTAAGTGATCTAATTATTGTATTAATTAGGATTTTGATTGATGCGTTAATTAAGGGATCTAATTATAACATTAATTATGGTTTTGATTAGGATTAGATAAGAAAGCTAGCTTTTTCGTAATTTATTTTAGCTCAAATTTATAAATAGGGCCCTGGGGGCTGCTGTTGAGTGTATGATAGAAGAGAGAAAACTTGAGAGCTATTGCAATTCTCTATTATTTTTCCAATATAATGAAATCGCCATCCCCTCCCCGTGGAAGTAGGCATCTTTGCCGAACCACATAAATCACCGTGTTATTTGTATTGTTTGTTCTGTGATTAATTATTTTCGTTGTGTTTGTTTGAAAAATTTCATTGATAACGTAGAAAAATTCAACAGTAAATCTATTACCAATGGATTTTATAACGAAAAGATTTCTATCATATATTTTATAACCAATGTATCGACAATGTGGCAGAAAATACATATATATTATTAAAACTGAAATAATATAACAAATAGAAGAACTAACTGTGGATCTATTACATTGGAATAATAACACAGCTGGCTAGCAATCAATATATCATAAGCTTTTATAGCTTATTTATGTGTTTTATTATAAAAAGAACAAATATTTTTAAATATATTAAATTATTGACCAACTCTTTCTCATTAGTTTAATCTTTTGTGTTCAAAGCTAATTCCATCAATCCTTTAGAAAACATGGAGATCAGAAATCAAATAAGTTAATTTCTTCGAAGCATAGAGTGTAAAAACTATTTATGTTTCTTTAAGAACATCTATTCTTATCACCCTGATGTGCATAGGAATAAAAATCACTGTGAGCAACAATACTTAGGCTTCTTTTGGGACGGTTTTCTTTCTGCTTCTTAAAGCAGTTTTTTAGTAAAAAAATTTTAATTTAGTACTAGGAAGCTGCTTTAAGAAGGAGAAAGAAAGCCGTTGCAAACGAAGCCTTAATATCAAATTGTATGCCAAAATCCATAACATAGAGAAGCAGCACTAAAAAAACTTCTTTTATTTTATTTTATTTTTTTTTTCAAATTTTAGGTTTGGACTAACGGTAAATTGGGTGCGCCAAACCAAAGTAAAGATATTGGAAGAGAAGAATAGATATTCTGCACTTTATGGTTCTCGACCGAGCTACAGTGTGAAGGTAGAAAATCTTTTGGAGCTGGTTGATCAAGAGAAGCACCATTTGCTTTGCAAGCCTTCCAGTAACAAAGAATACCTGAAGTTTCTTTTCTTCGAATAAGAAATTAAGCACAAAGATTGATGCATGTTGCCATGTTGGGGATGAGGAGGAGTAGACATCACAATTACAAAACAAGCAATAGGGCATCAGGATTTAATGTGAAAATTTTCAAAATAGGGAAAAAAACCATGGAGCCACAACACACGAAGAAATTCACTATGAAAATTGGGAGAAATAAATACATATCTCTCTTCTCTCCCACTCTCTCCTTGCTTCTCTTCTCACATGCACCGTTCTCATTGTCTTACATCACGAAATACAAGAGAAAGACAAGTTAAATAATCCCATGGGACGCAACCCTTCAAAAAAAAAAAAGATAAAGAAAAACGTCTAGTTCGTCTCGCAGCGCTGTGGCACTCAAACCTCTGACTTGATTCGCTGTGGTGCTCCGCTCTCTGTCGTTCAATGTTGGGCCGCTTGGGAACACAGTGTCAGAGCTCTTGGACACATAGCGCTGGAGCGTTGTAAAAAAAAAAAATTTCAAGCAAAGGATAAAACCACGCACCCCCAGCAAAAGCAACAAACTTGCAATTTGAGGCAACAAAACAACCAGACTGATCATAGATCAACAAGCAACTTACTTATTGGAAAGGATTTGTTGGTGGCATTTTTCTACTTAATTAATGTCTATAAAAGTTGAAAGTGTGTTACCGTTATATTCATAAAAAAAGCTTTTCAAGAAGAAAAGGTTACTTAATAATGTTCATAGTAGTAATCGCTTTACCAGATGGATGGCCATTACTATTTATTTGTGATTATAGCCTTGAATTTAAACCAAATTTTGGTGATAAAATTGCTTACAAAAGTAAGCTGTTGAATGAATAA